TATCTATCTATCTATCTATCTATCTATCTATCTATCTATCTATCTATCTATCTATCTTCCTATCCACCATCTATCTGTATCTCTACCTATCTGGTCCAGTTAGTATTGCTCATCTGTACAAGGGTTTAGGGCTGATCAGTTGAGAAGAGCAACCTATCAGGGGCCTCATCAGTAAATAATGATGCTCCCTCAGGAGCCCTTGACTGCCTGCTGCCCTTCAGCTGGGGGTGGGACCTTGTGAACCTTTCTTCCGCCTGTGTTGCATGTTGACTGGTGTGGTCTTGTACAGTTTTGCTGTCATGTTTCTTTCTTCTTTTAGAAAGGTCTCGCTGTGGTGGTGTTATTACCAAAGCACCTGGAAAAATCAAGAACCCCCCAATGAATGAAATGCATGACAACATAACCTGTGTGTGGGAAATCAGGGCCAATCCCTCTGAACGTATAAGGCTGGCGTTCCCATCTCTTGAGTAAGTGATGCATGCGATGTAAGTATAGCACTCTTCTAACCGTTCATCCCTATAATGATCCTCATATTCAAAAGAGTCCTTTATGCATTTTGAGCTTTTTATTTTAAAATAATTATGAACACAGAGGAGATTGCAAAAGTAATTCCTGTGTACCCCTCTGAAGCATCGCCCAGTGGAAGAACATTATCAAAATGAGCAAATTAATATTGGTGTTAATGTTAACTGAACCAAAACCCATACTTAGTTCCCCAGATTTTTCCATGCAGTTATTTGTGTGAGGATGGGGCTGGAATGCTCCACACAGTTCAGTTCTGTGAATGGCTGCACAAAACCACGGTTCCATTCCAGGCACATTCCACGAAGGAACTACCCTTTCGTCTTTTATTTTCCCAGATTACCCCATCTCTGTCCCTTAACTGTGATCTGTTTTCAGCTCTACATGTTGTCCTTTCAAGGATGTTCTGTGGAGGAGTCATATGGCTTATAGTTTGGTAGGGGTTCACTCAGCACAGTGCCCCTAAGATCCATTCACATTGCCGTGGTACTTAGGGACTGATGCTCTTCACTGTGGAAAGGGTTTTGTTAATATGACTGAGTCAGTGTCGGTTAATCCTTTCTCCTCTGAGGAACTTCTGGCTTGTTATCAGTCTTCAAAGATTGCAAATAAAACTTCTTGGAACATTCAGGGAAGATTTTTGCATCAATCTAAGTTCATTTGTCAGGGACGAATGCCCAAGAATGTGATCACTACATTTCATGGGAAGTACACAGTTAGCTTCTTAGTACAGAGAGACTTTCCCAGAATGACTGTCAGTTCATCTTCCCACCAGCAATACATGTGACATGGCTTCAGGTCGCCCTAGGTAGCATGTGAGATTTTATACTGCCTCTTTGTATACACACTTGTACATATTGCTTTCGTTTTGCTGCTGTTGAAATGGTTATGAAGTATATTGTTTTTCATACTTTCATTATACGTATAAAGAAATATGATTGCTTTCTTTATGTTTGTGAATTTTTCCAAGACATGCAGCTTTACTTTTTTGTGTAATATTTCGTATACTTTTTGAGAATTCATACATGTAACAATACATTTTGATCATATTCATACTTCCATGAATTTTTAATTGAAAAGAAATTTACTATCCATGCTTTGGCTAGGAGAGACAGAGAGAGAGGGGCTCACACACATGCACGGATATCTCATGTGTTCTGACTATCTGGGGAAGGATAGAACATCTGAGGAAATTTCAGGTTTTAATATTATAAATACATGAAAATGAAGTCATTCGCAGATTAGCATGATATTTAAATGAACCACAAGGAAACATCAAATCATTTAGGATTCTTGAATTGTGCTTAATTTAAAGATAGTTTGGGATAGATGGCTGTGGACTGATGATGTGGACATGGTCTGCTTCTAGCACTGGTGACAGCCACACAGAAGTTCACAGTGAAAGACAGCAGCTGACAAAGCCAGACGGCTTCCACAAAGCCCGTGGGGCATATCTGTAGCCCACGTTCCTCTAGATAGGCTAGCTGTCAAAACTTATCTTTTAGGGACTGGAGTGTATTTGAAACTGGAGTTATATTCTGTTACCAGCCCAATGAACAACCAAACCCTAAAATCCCTCATTTTAGACCCTTCCTCTCAAGCATCCCATAGTGAAATGACCTTGATGAGCTAGCTATTGAATAAGACTGTAAAGTCTCCTGTGCTCACAGCAGCTCCCAATCCTCAACAGGGAGTCCACTAGAGTCAATATTCTTTTTTCCATCAGCTAAAAATCCCATTTCTTTCAGAGAGTATTTATTTAGGAAAATACAGGATAAAAGGATTGTACTGTGTCTGCATAACAGACAGGGTTTGAGCTTGTCCCCTGCATTGTCACCCCGATAATAAAGCAGGGCTCACACAGCACCTCCCCACTTTCTGATGAGGAGATTAAGAGGCATTCATGATATTTGCTCCCCCAGCCTTGACTGCACCAACGAATATTTTGAAATCCTGGATGGCCCTCCATCTTCCACGGAGTCCCTGGGGAAACCTTGCAGTGGGTTCCATATGACCTTTGCCTCCCACTCCAGCTCAATGACCCTTGTGTACTTCCGAGGCATGAACAACATCGGGAAAAATTTCATGGCTTATTATTATTTTGAAACCAAAGGTAAGCAGATGGCATGGAGTCAGAGCTCTGAGTTTTTTGCCAATGTGCCATCATTGGCTCTGTGACCTTCAACAACCACTTGGCTGATGGGGAATCTGTAGCGAAGCTTCACACAACACAAACTGAGTCCCTAAGGAGTCATTCCTGGTAATACTCTGACTGTAGTCCCGAATGGGTGTTCCTACAGAGGAAGGAAATATGTTCCCTCTAGGTCATCTATCAGACTCATACACAACCTATAAGGAATTCAAGACTAATATACCAGACACAATCAGAAAGTAACTAGAATATACTAAATCAAGACCCATAAAATAGTGTGTGTACTAGAATGTGCTACATGGACACATAGATACATATCCAAAAGGGGCATTGGAAAAGAAAGGAGCACTATAGGCTGCAAATGCCAAAGTGAACATCAGGGGAGATCAATTTTGGATTTGCCTGTGACATTGCATAGCCCCTTCGTAGAGAAACAGCAAGAGGACTTGAGAACTGAGATCAGTGCTGGAAATGGGATGCAGTGCATGCTGGGAAGGCAGAAGCTAAGCTGAGGGTCTCTGTTAAAGCACAGTGTACACAAGTTAGCAAGATCAGTCAAAATAGTGAGCTGACGATTACTGATTATTCATTTGCAAGCATTCTAAGCTCCTTGCATGTGTTATGCTTACACAAACGCGTGGATCATCCTTTTCACACAGGGAGAAACTGAGGCCTCAGAGGGTCAGTAATTGATTACCTGGGGTTCTGCACTACTCTCTACCTAGAAATACCAGGCAGGTCTCCTGTTTGTCTAAGACGATGCTAAGAACGCCTCCAGGGTCTTTAGTAAGTGCCAGGCTAATTCACTGAGATTATTGGCGATACATACTGTATGACATAGGCGATGATACCAAAGAACGGGTCAAATAAATCTCCGTAACTGGCATCCAACAACTTCTGACCATGGCTTTCTTGCTTTTGCAGAGATGACATCGAAGATGCCATATCTGATCAGTGAGTCAACTCTCTTGTCATTGCTCATCATCATGTTTAGCTCATGTTTCTTCCTCTGCCACTACCCCTGGTACTTTTTTTTTTTCTAAGACAGAGTCTTACTATGTATCCCTAGCTGCCCTGGAACCCGCTTAGTAGACCAGGATGGCCTCAAGCTCACAGAGATCCGCCTGCCTCTGCCTCCTAAGCACACCACTAGTTTACTAAATAAAATAGATCTCCTTACACAGTTTTGTAGAAGCCCTCTGGGAATCTGGGAACTGTTTTGAGGGCTTTTTTTAAATTACTGTTTCAATTTCCATATTTCTTATGGGCCTTTTAAAATTAGAGATATATTTTATTCAGTAAACCAGAAACAGAAAGATCACCCTGAGAAATTCTTCTATGAAGTCAGTATGTGGTTGGTTGCTTTTTCTTTTTTGTTCTTTTGGCTCTTTGGGGGGATGCCACTTAGCTCCCTAATAAATACATACACGGAGACTTATTACTTATAAATTCTAAGCCATAGCCTGGCTTGTTTCTAGCCCACTTTTCTTAAATTATTCCATCTACCTTTTCTGTCTCTGTGCTTTTCCCTTTCTCAATTTCTGTAAACCTGTCGTTACTCGATACTCCATGGCTTGCTGTGTGGTTGTGTGACTGGCTGGCCTCCTGGAGTCCTCCTCCTTATCCTGCTCTTCGATCTTTTCTTCCCTAATATCTCCTCCTTTTTTATTCTCTCTGCCTGACATCCCCGCCCATCCTTTCTCCTGCCTACCTATTGGCTGTTCAGCTTTTTATTAGACCAATCAGGTTTTTTTTTTGGACAGGCAAAATAACACAGCTTCGCAGAGTTGAACAAATGCAACATAAAGGAATGCAACACATCCTTGCATAATTAAACAAATGTTCCACAGCATAAACAAATGTAGTACACCTTAAAATAATATTCCATAACATTAGTGTTACTCTAATAATGAAACCAGGAAAGAGCATAGCAAAAAAGAAAACTACAGGCCAGTATCCCCAGTGAAAATAAATGTAAAGATCCTTCATGAAATACTAGCAAACTGAAAAGGGCACATGTCCACCATGATAAAGTTGGTTTTGCTCTAGAGGTACAGGATGGTTCAGGACATGAAAGTCAGTTATAAATGTAATCATATAAATGGTCTTAGAAACAAAATTTACATGACCTTCTCAATAGATGCAGGAAAGACATTTGACACAATTTAGCATGCCCTTGTGATAAAAGTCCCAGAGGCAGTAAAACTGAAAGGAGCCTACCTTATCATAATAAAGACTATAGATGACAAACTCACAGCCAAATCATCCGAAATGGGGAAAATCTTAAAGCAATTCCATTAAAATCTGGAATGAGAAAGGGCTGTCCACTATCCCCCATTTCTTGAAGCACTAGCTCAAGCAATATGACAAGAAAAGGGAATTATAATTATACAAATGAGAAAAAAAGAGGTCAATTATCCCTACTTGCAGATGACATCAAACATGAGATCCAAAACATGCCAACAGAAAACTTCTAGAAGTGATCAAGAATTTTAGTGAAGTGACGCATACAAAATCAACTTATGGAAACCAGATATATACTTTCTACATACCAATAACAAACATACTGAGAGAGAGATCATGGAAACACTCCCATTCATAATAGCTTCTAAAAAATAAAATATTTAGAAATAAAACTAACTGAGGAGGTAGAAATATCTTCATAAGGAAAATTAAGTTGAAATTAAGACTAGCCATCACAAGAAGAAAGTAAAGGTGGGGGTTCCTCCCAGAAAGACATGCGGTATGGATGTTTGCATGTAAGCACAAATTATGCAGTCATATTTTTGGTGAGGAGACAGAGGGGTATGGTCATGTCAGTTGGCTTCCTTATTTCTGAACAACATAAGATCCCTGTGAAGAGAGAATCTGCCTTAGGACATTCCTTATTACATAAGCAACAATGAAAGAATCAGTGTGGATCTGGGTATTTAATGAAGACTGATCTGAGGACCTGCTGTTGGCTTCCTAAATCCTCCCTTCAAGATCTCATCTTGTCTTCACAGCCATCCCCACAGCAGCTTCCAAGATGGTAACGGAAAGACCAAGTAAGTCCCAGAATGTGCCCATTTTAGTACCAAATGCTTTTTTTCTCAACACCCATGTCTGTACCTGCTTCACACATGGGTACTATACTGAGCTACCCACAGTTCATGTATTTGCAAATGGACCAATTGACTTGACCCTAGGATGTAAGCCCACTCCAAACCCCTAGACTATTCTGATTCTCACATTCTGAAACAGCAGATTGTTTTGTTGTTGTTATTGTTGTTTGGTTTTGCTTTTGTGCCCTTCAGAACTCTCCAATCCTGCACGGTCTACCAAGACTTCCAGTGGGAGTCTCTCACTTCTTCCCAAGCCTGACCCAGGTACAGTTCAGCTTACCTCCCATATAAACCACTGATTGACTTTTCTAAAATAGACAGAAGCTCAGAGTCATCCAACAGGCCATGAACTAGAAGAACAGAGAAAAAGGGCACTTCTGAAGTGGGGTGCAGGGGTTGGGGGTGGTCTTGAATATTTGAATTTTCTACATTCAGTTCCTTCACAGATAAGGTTGGCATGCCAACATTCGGCTGCATAACCTTGAGCTACCATAAAAGTGACACTTGAAAGCATCTCACAGAAATCACCAAGTTTTGCACAAGTCTCATATTCTTCTGTATTTAGGCCAAACAGTTTGGTACATGCTTCTCACATAGCAGACAGCAATTAGTGGATGTTGTCTGAGCCAGATGCTATTGACAGTCTTCGTGTTTATCACACCCCAGCTAGGGTTGGCTCTAGTAGGTTTTCTTTATCTAATAGTGTACAGGAGAGGGCAGCTCAACCATCTCATGAAAGATGTCATGCTCCCAGATGACCGCAGTTACCAGGTCTCTGTCTGCAGGGAACTGGCCAGAGCTGCGGCTGGTGGGTGGCTCCAATCGGTGCTCAGGGCGTGTGGAGATCCTCTACCAGGGAGTCTGGGGCACTGTGTGTGATGACCTGTGGGACCTGAATGAAGCTGAGGTCGTCTGCAGACAGCTGGGGTGTGGAAAGGGTGTGTCTGCCCTTGGCAAGGCCTACTTTGGCCCTGGTTCAGGAGATATTTTCCTAGACAACTTCCAGTGTGCTGGGATGGAGCACTTCCTGGGCCAGTGTGCCCATTCGGACTGGAGAGACCACAACTGTGGCCACCATGAGGATGCTGGTGTCATCTGCTCAGGTATGCTGACTAATTTTCTTCTCAGGTAGTAATCGTGAGCAGTGTGTGCTTTGCTGAAACTTGCAGAGACTGTGTCTGAATACAGGAAGGGCTTGGGAGTTGAAATAATAGTGTTTATTAAAGGAGGCAGCCAGCTGTCAGGAGGCCAGGGCAGCATGGGGCTGGCTCTCAGAGCCGCAGTGAACTTCCAGACTGCATCTGTGCAATGTCTAAGTTTTCAGAGTCCCATTCTCTTCACTTAGGGAACTAGGGGACCGCCTGCTCTCTTGCAGCAAAGATGTTTTTGACCAAACTCTGGCTTAGTACCATCATTCTCCTTAGTCAGAAATTCTCTGTGTGTGTCTGTGTGCACATGTGCGTATGTGTATGCTCATGTGCATGTGTGCATGCGTGTGCATGTGTTTGTGTATATGTGCATGCATGCATATGTGCATGTTTGACTAATTTTAATTGCTTGTGGCATTTTTTAAATGCCCTGATTTACACATGTACCAACACATAATTGTGAGTAAATAGGTTCCCTCTGGGATGTCAACTGATAGCCCTGCCTGCCAACATGCTGCCTTTAAGCAAACAGTGTCAATCCCAGAGGTGACTTGAAAGAATTAGTTGCTGTCGTCAGAATGGGGGTGCAGTTCACAAAGCAGCCCTTGTGGGAGTAATACATTGCACTAATGTCTATGTTCCACCAGTAAATACTCAGGATCCTGGAAGCAGACACTCTTCAGACCCCAGTCTTTCACATCTGTCATCTCAAATTGCTTTAACAAACTAACTCCCCACAGAGAAGTGTATTGCAGACCTATTGATAAATTTGGTTATTCTGGCACCATGTGCTTTAAAGAAATGAACAATATATTAGTAAATTTGTATGAGAGTCTACTTAAGCCTCCTCTTCTGTTATGAAAGCCTGGAGTTCCTCCAAATGTTGACCTATTTGTCTTTCTTACATACAGATGCTGAAAAACCTCTGTTGGATGTTCCAGGTCAGTGGTGCCTTTAATGGGGACAGTTAAATATTGGCTGCCCTTGACTTTATCCTGTGCTGTTTGACCTTTCACCTCTGAGTTCACTTATTTTTCAAACTACAAAAACTGTTACAGAATGCAACTAGGATTTTTTTATTCTTTATTGTTTTTATTGAACTATCCATTTTTCTCCACTCCCTTCCCTTCCTCCCTTCTTCTCTTTCACCCTCTCCCATGACCCCCATGCTTCCAATTTACTCAGGAGATCTTTTCTTCTTCAACTTCCTATGTCGATTCGTGTATGTCTCTATTGGGTCCTCTTTGTTGTCTAGTTTCTCTGGGGTTGTGGGCTGTAGGCTGTTTTTTCCTTGCTTATGTCTAAAAGTCACTTATGAGTAAATACATATTATATTTATCTTTCTGGGTCTGGGTTACCTCACTCAGTATGATTTTTTTCTAGATTGATCAATTTGCCTGAAAATTTAAAGATGTCATAAATTTAAAGATGTGGTACTCCGTTGTGTAAATGTATACATTTTCCTTATCTGCTCTTTGGCTGAAGGGCATCTAGGTTGTTTCCAGGTTCTGGCTATGACAAACAATGCTGCTATGAATGTAGTTGAGCAAATGTTCTTGTTATATGGTTAATTATCTTTTGGGTATATACCCAACAGCCATATTGCTGAGTCTTGACGTAGATTGTTTTCTAGTTTTCTGAGAAAATTGCCATATTGTTTTCCAAAATGGCTTTGCAAGTTTGCACTCCCACCAGCAGTGGAGGAGTGTTCTCCCTGCTCCACAACCTCTCCAGCATAAGCTGTCATCAGTGGTTTTGATGTTTTGGCCTTCTTACTGGTATAAGATGGAATCTCAGAGTTGATTTGATTTGCATTTCTCTGATGGCTAAGGATGTTGAACATTTCCTTAAGTGTCTTTCAGCCATTTTAGATTCCTCTGTTGATAATTCTCTGTTTAGGTTTGGACCCTATTTTTTTATTGGATTATTTGTTCTTTTGATTACAAATTTCTTGAGTTCTTTGTATATTTTGGAGATCAGACCTCTGTCTATTGTGGGGTTGGTGAAGATCTTTTCCTATTCTGTAGGCTGCCGTTTTGTCTTGTTGATCATGTCCTTTGTTTTACAGAAGGGTCTCAGTTTCAGGAGGTCCCATTTATTAATTGTTTCTCTCAGTGTCTTTGCTACTGGGATTATATTTAGGAAGTGGTCTCCTGTGCCAATGCATTCAAGTGTACTTCCCACTTTCTCTTCTATGAGGTTCAGTGTGGTTGGCTTTATGTTGAGGTCTTTAATCCATGTGAACTTGAGTTTTGTGCATGATGATAAATATGGATCTATTTTTATTCTTCTATGTGTTGATATCGAGTTATGACAGCACCATTTGTTGAATATGCTTTCTTCATTTTATATATTTAGATTCTTTGTCTAAAATCAGGTGTCGTAGGTGTGTGGATTGATATCTGGGCCATCGATTCTATTCCATTGGTCCTCCTGTCTATTTTTATGGCAATACCAGGCTGTTTTCATTACTGTAGCTCTATAGCAAGAGTTTGAAGTCAGGGATTGTAATGCCTCCAGATGTTCTTTTGTTGTACAGTATTGTTTTGGATATCCTGAGTTTTTTGTCTTTCCATATAATGTTGAGTATTGTTCTTTTGAAGTCTGTAAATAATCTTGCTGTGATTTTGATGGGCATTGCATTGAATCTGTAGATTGTTTTTGATAAGTTTGCCATTTTTACTATGTTAATTCTGCCTACCCAAGAACATGGGAGATCTTTACATTTTCCGGTGTCTTCTTTGATTTCTCTCTTTAAAGATTTAAAGTTCTTGTCATACAAGTCTTCCACTTGTTTGGTTAGAGTTACTCTGAGATATTTTATGCTATTTGCCACTATTGTGAAGGGTGTTGATTCTCTGATTTCTTCCCCAGCCCTTTTATCATCTGTGTACAGAAGGGCTGCTGAGTTTTTGAGTTAATCTTGTATCCTGCTACATTACTGAAGGTGTTTATGAGTTGTAGGAGTTAACTGGCAGTATTTTGGGGGGCCACTTAAGTATACTATCATATTGCCTGCAAACAGTGAGAGTTTGACTCCTTTTCTTATTTCTATCCTTTTGTTGTCTTATTGCTCTAGCTAAAACTTCAACTACTATATTGAATAGATATGGGGAGAGTGGACAACCTTGTCTTGTTCCTGATTTCAGTGGGATCGCTTTGAGTTTCTCTTCATTTAGTTTGATGTTGGCTGTTGGTTTGCTGTATATTGCCTTTATTATGTTTAAGCATGTTCCTTGTATCCTTACTCTCTCCAAGACTTTTATGATGAAGGGGTATTGAATTTTGTCAAAGGCTTTTTCAGTATCTAATGAGATATGTGTCTTTTTTTCTTTCAGTTTGTTTATATGGTGGATTACATTGACAGATTTTCATATGTTATATGATATTTTCATCTCTGGGGTGAAGCCTACTTGATTGTGGTGGATGACTTTTCTGATGTGTTGTGTGTGTATGTATGTGTGTTCATATGTGTATCCATCACATTATGTTTTTGCATACCCTTTACAAAAGCATTCATTCACATATTACATGACAAATGGGCTATATATTTGCTCATTTTCATCACTGTCATAGCACCAGGAGAAAAGATACATGCAGAAGTGACATAGTTCCTTAGGCTTCTTGCCTGTGCTCTTCTCTCTGGTCCAAAGTACCTTCCTGACCAAGTCCTTCTAATGTTTTGAAGAGTTCTCTCCCAGAATCTTTCTCTCTGTCATTTCTTCTCATATCCTGTCCTTCCTCTTTGTTGTATTATCATAGTGTAGAATAATACAATATACTGATGTATGTATTTTACTAGTGAGTAGACTGAAGCTCCCAGAGGGTCTATGTCTGTACCATCAGTGGATAATATGGGAAACAAAATACTCTGTTGAAACAAAATTTGTTGCAATTCCCCACAAACTGCAACTCAGAAACCAAGGGTAAACATAAGGATCAATGCCTGAGACCCATCCTAACCATCCTCTAAGGCTGGTACTGCTGGACTCCAGGTGAGGGTATTGGGGTGAAGACTCACACCACATCTCTGTCTACAGGAGACTGGCCAGAAGTTCGCTTGGTGGGTGGCTCCAGCCGGTGCTCAGGACGAGTGGAGGTTCTTCACCAGGGAGTCTGGGGCACTGTGTGTGATGACTTGTGGGGTTCAAATGAAGCTGAGGTTGTGTGCCGCCAGCTAGAGTGTGGTCAGGCTATTTCTAGTCTCGGTGAGGCCTACTTTGGCCCAGGCTCAGGAGACATCTTCCTGGACAACCTTCAGTGCTCTGGGATGGAGCATTACCTTGGCCAGTGTCCACATTCAGGATGGTCAGAACACAACTGTGGCCACCATGAAGATGCTGGTGTTATTTGCTCAGGTATTCATCTTATTCCTGTGCATCTGAAGACATTTTGAAACTATCTTTGCTGGGTGGCATTTTCCATTCATCATTCATTCATTTGATTCTTTATTTAAAAAAATATTTATTTGTTTATTTATTATGTATACAATATTCTGTCTGCTTGTATACCTGGAGGCCAGAAGAGGGCATTAGATCTCATTACAGATGGTTGTGAGCCACCATGTGGTTGCTGGGAATTGAACTCAGGACCTTTGGAAGAGCAGGCAATGCTCTTAACCGCTGAGCCATCTCTCCAGCCCCTCATTTTATTGTTTAAGCAGCCCTTCATGTCTGGGTCCTTGGTCAGACACCTATCTGGTCATGAGTGGCACATGGTGGCATGTAGGAAGTCCATGATATCTACAGGCATCTCCCTGGGGCATTACAGTAAAGATTTCAGGGCACCTCTCCCAAGAAATTTTGGCTGAGTAGATTTGGAAAGGAGCTTGGGAGTCCACACTTTAACAAGAGTCCCAGGAACTCTGCATAAGAGTACCACAAGTAAGCTAACACTGTCTACCATGAAACACAGCTGACCCAATGCCTGTGCTAAGTTCTCTAAGCAAAGGATTTCCCTAGATGGGAGTGCCCAATTGGTATTTGTTTTGTTTTGTTTTGGTTTGGTTTGTTTTTTCAAGACAGGGTTTCTCTGTAGCCTTGGAGCCTGTCCTGGAACTAGGTCTTGTAGACCAGGCTGGACTTGAACGCACAGAGATCTGCCTGCCTCTGCCTCCTGAGTGCTGGGATTAAAGGCCTGCACCACCACCCCAATTGACCATTTTAGTAGCTGGTTTCTGCACCCAGAATGGTCATGAGCCTGACCCTTTTACTCACTATCCACTTCTTGCCATTTCCCCCTTTGAATTCATCAAAGAGAGTGACCTGTTGCTTTTCTTTGTGTGTACAGGTTCAGATGGCCCCCCTCCACTCATGCCATCAGGTATGTCCAGTGCCCTCTTAGTTGAAGGAACTTCCCATCCAGGAAGAGAAACCATGATAACTGCCCAAAATATTTTTTTTAATGTTAAGAGTCAGGCATTTTTATTTATTTATTTACGTATTTATTTATTTATTTATTTATTAAAAATTTCCACCTCCTTCCCACCTCCCTCTCCCTCTCTAGTCCTAAGAGCAGTCAGGGTTCCCTGCCCCGTGGGAAGTCCAAGGACCTCCCCCCTCCTTCCAGGTCTATAAAGGTGAGCATCCAAACAAACCAGGCTCCCACAAAGTCAGTCCATGCGGTAGAATCAAAACCCAGTGCCATTGTCTTTGGCTTCTCAGTCAGCCTTCCTTGCCAGCCACATTCAGAGGGTCCAGTTTGATCACATGCTCCATCACTCCCAGTTCAGCTGGCCTTGGTGAGCTCCCATTAGATCAGTCCCACTGTCTCTGTGGGTGGACACATCCCTCATTGTCTAGAGTCAGGCATTTCTATGAGCTCTTCACACATGTACATTGCTCAGCTCATGATGGGGCTGTGTCCCAGAAAACCCACTGTAAAAACATCACATGTCAAAGAGTGCATTTCATACACATAAGCTATTGAACTTCCTGGCTCAGCAACAGCACGCTAGAGCACCTACTTCATATCCTCACTATCTGTGCTTGCCTGGGTGTTCACTGGTATGGTCCAGCATCTCAAGGGAGAATCATCCCCATATATAACCCCAGGAAAAGATCCAAATTCAAGATTTGAAGGACAGGTTCTCCTGCATGAAAATCCATAGGTCAAATCTTTATAAGTCAGGGACTCCCTCCAACTCCTTTAATTTTCCTTAGGAAGATATTTTGATTAATTACATTTTCCAGATAAACAGACACCTAGGAAGTCAGCAGGGAACTCTTGGATAGCCAGGGGATTTGGGCCAACGGCCAGTGCACTTGACCTCCAATCTCATTTGTCATACCAACTTTGTCCCAGTTTGCACCCAGATCAGACAAAGCAATAGCAAAGTTGGGGAGACAGTTTGCTCAGGCTACTTCTCATCAACAAGACAATTTTTTAAAACACACACACACATGCATGCACACGTGCACATGCACACGCACACACACACACACACACACACACACACACACGTTATCTTTTCAGAAGAAAGATTTAAGGAAGATGAAACAATTTTGGCCATTAAGTAGGTTAACAGAGAACCAAGTTTTTACACCGTTTTATACACACACACACACACACACACAATCAGATATTAGAAAACACAGACTAGTGAATAACTATAAATTTTGGAATGACAGTGGAAGTGAACAAAAACATACTTTTTATTCATTGCAACATCTGCCCAAAGCATTGGTAGATATGATACAAGGGCCTCTGATATGCTAATTATTTGCTCCCCATGGTTGAGGATAAGGGAGATCCAAAGCCTGCCCACAGTAATTCTACTGGGGATAGCTTTAAGAATGGGTCCTCCTTCTGTTCCTGTGTGCCCAGGACCTCTTCACAATGTCTCTCCAGCAGAGTGGTCAGACATCTTGTAATATTTAGCTTGAAGGAAGACTGGGACTTACCCTTTGAATGTACCTGGAATGTCCCCCTCAGCTGTGGACATAAGCCACAGGTCATTGACAGAAGTACCTCTCATGGCATTTACCTGGAGGAGATCTTGATGCATGCTGGGTGTCCCGAGGCAAGGCCAGCTTATGTGTTGGGGTCGTGAGTGAGAGCAGTGCTGTTTAAAGCAAAAAGGCAATGGTTAAGGTCAAGTATAGTGTTTTTTTTTTTTTAAATTTCTCAGACTGGAGGACTGAACCCAGGCCCTTGTACTTGCTAGGCAAACACTCTACCATCGAGCTAAATCCCCAACTCCAACAGTAGTTATTCAAACAAGGGCTTGTCTGTAGATTGCTCACTTCATGTAAATTGTATGAGTGATAAAGAAAGGAAGAAAGAGCCACCCGGTTTTCCATTGTTGTCCCCAAATTTAACATTTTTAAAAAGCTACATTTAAATACATGCCATGGTTTTGTGGGTCAGGAACTGGAGCAGGGATCAACTTGGGGTTCTTATTCTCCTCAAAGCATCAAGCTAGGGTCTCCATGTCATTTACCTGAATGCTGGTTTGGAGAGCTCAAGATATCTTACACGATTTGTGCCTTTGTGGGTGCAGCTGGGAAGACGGGTCCTCTTCCCTTCCAGGAAGTCTCAGAGCCTCTACATTAGTCTCTTTAGTCAGACAGTGTGAGGCTGAGTAAGCAGCGCTCTCTGAGCAGGATGTAGATACCAATAGTTCCTTAAGACATTGCATAGCTTCTGCTATATCCTATTCTTCAAAGCAGTTGTGGAGCCCACTCGGGTTCCAGGGAGGGAGCTTGATGGTGGTAGGAGGTGTGTCCAAGTATTGGCTGGTTTTGATCAACCATAGAATCATAGAGAATGTTCACGCAGCAGCTTCAGACTCTTCTGAGTCTGCACCACATACATTGGTGTCTCCAAAGAAACCTTTCATCACGCACTAAATTGTAAATGAGACAAAAGATTTCCCCCTGGATGTCATTTTTGTCTTCCTTTCCCCTTCCAGGTCCTCCTCCAGCTTCTCGGGATCCAACAACAGGTAGTCACTTCTTTGCTTGAAATGGTTAACTCCATGTCAGCAGATTCCAGGCAATGTCCATGGGTGTAGCACAAAAGAGCCCCTGGCATATGCGGGTGAGGGGCTTACTCCTCTGCTGCCACTCTGTAAATGCTGACTGCTTATTAGGAGGACCACGTGAGAAAAGATGGCTGTGGGTCTTCCAAAGACAAAGTAGATATGAGGTCAACACGATGGCAGAACGTGGTTCTACAATCCATCGGACCCCGACTCAGCCTGTCTTGTTTAGGCACATTCTAGAGGATGCTCATAGACACCTGGTTTTCCTCTCTTGCCACAAGTGTGTCTTGGCTCTGTTGTAACCTATAGATGTGATGAATGGAGTACGCAAGGGTTAGTGACACCTGTCATCACACTTGAGGGTTACAGACAGGAGGGTTTTTCAGTTCAAGGCCACCCTTGGCTGTCTCGTGAGACATTGTCACCACAAGAGACTGGGGAATTGGTTCTGTGGTAGCGAGCACTTGCGCAACACCCTGCATTTGATCCCAGCTTTCTCCCACCCCAGAATGTGGTTAGCGACAGAAATGTAGGGTTTCTGGGAGCATGCGCCCAGCATCCATCTTAGACAAGATTAGGAACCTGTGGGACCCTGGGAGGATTACAAGATGGTCATGGAGGTGAAAGGAAGGGAAACTGAGAAACTCAATAATAGGTGTAGATCAATGAAGTGCATTGTGTTGTCAAGGCCCTCCAAAGTAACCTGATAATTTTAAGTTATCTACTGCTTTAGACAGCATTCTGCCTCGTATACCTGTGTAGAGCTGTATCTATTCATGCTAAAACGAAGATGATGATGATGAAGGAAGAACTAGATTTTTGTCTTCTTGTTTAACTTTTATAAATCCCCAAATATTCAAGTTCCAGTCTGAATACACTGAGTTACAGGGAACAAACAAACAAACAGTTACAGGGAAACATCCAGCGAAGTGAAGACAGTGTACTGAGACAAGGTCCCAGTCATAAGCTCCAAACTCCGCCCAACGTCCCTTCTGCTCCCTGCTTCATCAGAATTCACCGTTATTCTGTAGTCTCTTACTCCACAAACATCCTCAACATGAACCCTCTCACACCCGGCAGACAGCCTATCTCTCAGCCTTCCTCCCAGACTCTCATTGTGTATGTAGAGCCTCACTCTTCTCCCAGAAAACAAAAGTTCATTCCTTTTCAGAAAGGAGAGATGCAGTAAGCAGAGAGGATGTATGATATCTCCTTGCAGATGATGGAAGCAGAAGGAAAGATGGGAATTCTTACACAGTGATGCTTTTGAGTCATTGGGATTAGATCAAATGACTTCCTAAGAGATGCTAAACTAAGCAGCAGCTTACCCAGGCCAACTGCCACCTGACCACACTTGACCTTTCTGTCTTGACCACGCTGACTATGAGCTGGTCATTCCTAAGATCACTCAATGACACCATGTGGCTGCAACCTGACATCCTTTTTCATGTTCTAGGAGGAAGCAACTCATGTGGAGGGGTCATTTCCAGTCTCTCTGGCTCATTTTCCAGTCCAGGATACCCAGAAAACTATCCAACAGACATACAATGTGTTTGGGAGATCCATGTGGAGAAAAACTTACGCATAGAACTCATGATTCCAAATTTAAAGTAAGAAGCTAGTTTTTTCTTTTTTTAATTTAATTTATTTATTTATTAAAAATTTCCACCTCCTCCCATCCTCCCATTTCCTTCCCACTCCCCTCACTCCCCCTCCCCCTCACTCTCCAATCCTAAGAGAAATCAGGGTGTCCTGCCCTGTGAGAAGTCCAAGACCTCCCCTTCCATCCAGGTCTAGGAAGGTATGCATCCAAACAGACTAGGCTCCCAAAAAGTCAGTACATGCAGTAGAATCAAAATCTGGTGTCATTATCATTGGCTTCTCAGTCAGCCCTCATTGTCAGCCATATTCAGAGAGTCCGGTTTGATCACATGCTCGTTCAGTCCCAGTCCAGGTGGCCTTGGTGAGCTCCCATTAGATCACCACCTCCATGGGTGGACGCACCCCTCGTGGTCCTGACTTTCTTGCTCATGTTCTCCCTCCTTCTGCTCTTCATCTGGGTCTTGGAAGCTCAGCCCAGTGCTCCAATGTGGGTCTCTGTCTCTATCTCCATCCATTGCCAGATGAAGGTTCTATGGTGATTTGCAAGATATTCATCAGTGTGGCTATGGGAGAAGGCCAGTTCAGGCACCCTCTCCTCTTCTGCCCATGAACCTAGCTGGGGAAATCCCCTTGGACACCTGGGAACCCCTCTAGAGCCAAGTCTCTTGCAATCCTAAAATGGCTCCCTTAGTTAAGATATCTTCTTCGCTGCTCCCACATCCACCTTTCCTCCCCATCCATCTCAACCATTCCATTCCCCCAAGCTCTCCCCAATCCTCCCCTTCTCCCTTCTCTCTCCCTATATCCCCTTCCCCCAATCCACCCCAACCCCCTGCTCCCAACTTTTGGCCAGTGATCTTGTCTACTTCCAATATCCAGGAGGATACATACATGTTTTTCTTTGGGTTCACCTTCTTATTTAGCTTTTCTAGGATCATGAACTATAGGCTCAATGTCCTTTGTTTATGGCTAGAATCCACTAATGAGTGAGTACATACCATATTCCTCTTTTTGGGTCTGGGTTATCTCACTCAGTAAAGTGTTTTCTATTTCCATCCATTTGCCTGCAAAATTCAAGATGCCATTGTTTTTCACTGCTGAGTAGAACTCTAAAGTGTATATGTGCCACACCTTCTTTATCCATTCTTCTATTGAGGGGCACCTGGGTTGTTTCCAGGTTCTGGCTATTACAAATAGTGCTGCTATGAACACAGTTGAACAAATGCTTTTGTAGTATGATTGGGCATCTCTTGGGTATATTCCTAAGAGTGGTATTGCTGGATCCTGAGGTAGGTTGACTCCCAGTTTTCTGAGAAACCGCCACACTGATTTCCAAAGTGGTTGCACAAGTTTGCATTTCCACCAACAATGGATGAGTGTTCCCCTTCCTCCACAACCTCTCCAGCATAGGCTATCTTTGGTGTTTTTGATTTTAGCCATTCTGACAGGTGTAAGATGGTATCTCAAAGTTGTTTTGATTTGCATTTCCCTGATCGCTAAGGAGGTTGAGCATGACCTTAGGTGTCTTTTGGCCATTTGAACTTCTTCTGTTGAGAATTCCCTGTTCAGTTCAGTACCCCATTTTTTAATTGGGTTAATTTTGGGGAGGCAGGGTCATGTCAAGAAGCTAGTTTTAAAGAGAAAGTTAAATTGAGTAAGAATATCAGTTTGTTGACGGTGGCAAAGACATTTCCTTTAGCAAGAAGAAAGCATAGGAGCTAACCCACTACAGCATGTTCAAGTTCAAGTTTGAGTTATTTTTGTAGTGGTATCCAAAAGGTCTCTTCTAGCTAGAAATATGCAGTAAGTCATTTGTCAACACATTTGACACATCTCTGCTTTGATAGTATGCCTTTTGATACTTTTTTTTTTAAAAAAATACTTCCTAAATGCTCAAAACCTTTGACCTTATTCACTAGGCACCAATATATGTCTTTCAGGCTAGCATCTTCACCCATCTATATTTTATACAAAAGTTAAGAGATTTTCCTAAGACACGTGCTAGTCAGCTGTTCCAGGCTTGGGCTGTACAATTTCTAAGTGTTCTCCCAAAGTGAAAGGAAACAGAAGAGCTGGTGTCTCACCTCTGACAGAAAGAGAACAGGTTCCATAGTCACTGCTACCTCACCATCGCCGTGACAGAAAGTGACAGCTGACATTTTAGAACACTGTGTCCAGACCATGAACTGCATGCTTCTTCTATGTGTTTGTGTACATGCATACACCGATGAGCATTTGGAGGTCAAAGGTCATTTCAGGTGTCATTTCTCAGGCACTGTCCACCTTGTTCTTCAAGGGAGGATCTCTCATTGACCTTGAACTCCTGGAGTAGGCTAAGCCACCACAGCCGAAATTTCCTTATGGGTTCTGGGGATTAAAGTCGGGTCTTTCGTGTTTCTTGACAAGCACTTTACCAACTGAGCTATCTCCACAGCCTCTGGACTAGATTCCTCTAGGCTCTGTCTTGCTCCAGCCTCATGATAGCCTACAGATGCTTTGCCATCCTCATTGGAGAAGAGGAAAATGAGCTACCTTGCCCATTGACACAAACGCGGGTCCGACTGATGTCGAAGTTCCCATTCCTCACCAACATTTGTCTCCCAGCAAAATCTTCACAAGGCCTTTCTTCTCACACATGGCTCATACGATGCTGCAATAGAGCAAGACCATGAGATTCCATGCTAAGTCAGCCCCAGCCAGACACTGGATCATGGTTCAGTTATGACTGTGTCAAGGCTGTCAATTCAGACTTATTTTAAACCCAAGGAAATAGCAATCACAAATTCCTAAGCCTATCTTGGTGGCTGGTCAGAATCACTATGATTTTAAAACTCATGACGAGGTTGTAAAATAAGCTTCATATATTCCCCCAGGCTGATAAAGCCCTTTGGGAAAGCTAAGGAATACTTTATGTTCTAGGCTGTCACAGATTGGGGTGTTGTTACGGAGGATCTTGGTACTGGGCCACTAACTCCCAACTTGCATTCCCCCAGCCTGGAAGATATCCTTGGATGTCCCTACGACTCAATTGAGATCTTCGACGGCCCCAGAATTGCATCACTCTCCATGGGGAAGTTCTGTGCCCCGTCAGCTATAGTGTTTTTCTCCTCCTCAGACATCTTGACAGTGGTGTTCCGAAGTGATTATATGACAACAAACACTGGCTTTTATGCTTTTTTCAATGCAATTTCACAAGATGGAAGGAGGTCAGGTAGGAAGATTCAGGTATCTTCGGGGATATAATGGAGATCAACTTCTTACTTGACTCTCCTATTACAGAGACCTGGTTCTGTTTTTACACCCCGCCCCCCCCACATCACCCCTGCTTCACGAGGGGCTAGATTTTTCCTAGATTTTTCTCAGCGTGGGGGCCAGGTAGCAAGTGAAATGTGGACACCCGACACCCCTGAAGATTCCACTTCCCTCTACCTGTTGACCCAGTGTGCCCTAAATCATAGACTCACCCCAACGAGAGGCTTTGAGACTCCTTTTAGCCCTGGCCTTGTAGTCATTCCAGAGCAAGCTTCAGTTTGTATCCTGCAAGAAACACTGCCTGCCAGTGTTTTGTTATTTATTTATTTTTTTGATATTCAGGTTCCCCATGCAGGAACCCCAATACTTCTTTGTGGCTGCCAGAAAACCAGATAATTAGTAAGCTCCTGTCTGAAGTTTGGGTGTGTTTGTCCCTGAGAAAAGAAATTCCTTTCTGGGTGTGTTCTGTGTGTCGTAAACGCGTGCTTTCACCCATTCACCCCAAGGGCCTCTGGAATAAGCTCTTGCTAGCTTCCTTACTTTACAAATGAGGAAGCAGCTCAGAGAGAGGAAGGGATTGCCAAGGAGGGGGCAGCAACAGAATGAGATTTGACCTGTTTCTGTCTTATTCTTTCACCTTTGGGTTTCATATGGAATCAAGACAACCACACAAGGGTTTGTGCTTGTATTAGCCTTGGTCGTGGTACAGCCTGTAGGAGCCACTTCCTACATAAACCTCCCCATGCCCAAAAGTGAAATCTTCTTCCGTTTAGAAGACAGACTGGTGCTGCGACTGGCAGGCAGCTCCGGACAGTGCTCGGGACGTGTGGAGGTCCTCCATCAGGGGGCCTGGGGCACCGTGTGTGATGACTTGTGGGACATGAATGAAGCTGAGGTCGTCTGCAGACAGCTGGGGTGTGGCCACGCCATCGCTGCTCCTGGAAGTGCCTACTTTGGCCCAGGCTCGGGAAACATCCTCCTGGACAACATTCAGTGCTCAGGAAAGGAGAACCACTTTGGCCAGTGCCCCAGCTCTGCCTGGTTAGACCACAACTGTGGCCACCACGAAGACGCTGGCGTTATCTGCTCAGGTACTGTGCCTCCCATAATGAGCTCCTTCAAGGAGGCAGCTTAGCCATGAGCAGAACGGGGATGTGACTCTATTGAAAACGGCCATATTGGCTACTTTTCTCATAGCTGTAAACAAAATTCCAGACAAAAGCAACTTATAGACTGAAGAGTTTGTTTTGGCTTATAGTTCAGGTGCAGTCTACTCTGCCAGAGAATCATGGAAGACGGAGTTTGAGAGAGCTAGTCATATTGTATTGAAGCCAGGAAGCAGAGAAAGGTGAATGCTGGCACCAAACTTCCTTCTTTTCAGGCAGTCTGAGACCACACCCCATGCGATGGAGCTGCCCACATTTAGAGTGGGGGTTTCCACCTCAGTAAACCGAATCTAGAAACTTCTTAAACAAGCCCAGAGGTTTGTCTCCTAGGTGATTCTAGAACTGGTAAATTGTCAGGAGCAAGATAGACAGGGAATGCTGAGTCTGACTGTTCTGGAGACAGACACCCAGGCACACTTAGTTAGCTTTTCCTATTGTCTGCACCTTCCCCAGATGTGAAGCCGCTTTCCCAGGAAAGAGCTTGCTTATCTATCATGAAGCCTATCTGCTTGAGACATGCCCACATTAGAAAAACTAATATTTCTTTGTCTCCACGGAATTTAATTTAAAATCCCTGAATTCCTTTGTTTCCTGTTTGTGCAGATGCAGCGGTGACTCCTCCACCCTCTGGTAAGTCAGCACTGGAAATTCCATCTCTTCAAGCCTGAGAAATCTGTGTCCTCACCTATACACTGGCGGACAGTGATCAGAGCAGTGATTTCCGATTTGACATGAGGGGAAGGAATGATGGGATAAAGTAAAGCCCTCACAAGCAGCTATGTTGTCCCCTCTTGAGTTGAGCTGACTTTCATATATGAGTCTAGAAGACCATTAAAGAATTATATACATAGTTTAGGGGACTGGAAATAGCTCACTTGGTAGTGTTTGCAAATACAAGAACCTAAGTATTAGATGCAGAACCCACATAAAAAAAAGTGCTATATGCTTATAATACCAACATTGGAGAGGCGAAGATGGGTGGATTCTTGGGATTCTTGAGATTCACTGGCAAGCCAGTGATCAGTGAGTTCTAGGTCAACGAGGATCCTGTTTCAAAAAAACCAAAGTGGGCAGAAGGCTAGCCTCGGTCCACCTAGTCACACATGTGTACATGTACCTGCACAAACATTAAAATGTAGCCTAGATGCTACCACATGCCCCATTGTACACATATATGTCTCATTCTCAATCAGTTTAGAGTCCAGCTTGCCAATCGTATATATTTTATTCTCCTACATCTGCTCTTAGATCTATACCTACTTGTACCAGTCAAACTGTGACTATCCAGACCAACCAAATCTCTTCCTATTTTATGATTTCCAGTGTAGAATTTGATGTCATTCTGAATTCTGCATCTAGGAAAATGCCAAGTGCGTTCCTGAAGATGCCAACCACAAGTCTCTCGTCTGCTTTCTCAGAAGGAAGTAGCTCCTGTGGAGGAGTCATTTCAAGTCTCTCGGGATCCTTCTCCAGTCCTTGGTACCCTACGAACTACCCCACTGACACGGAGTGCATCTGGGAGATACATGTGGCTGAGAAGTTCAACATAGAGCTCACAATCCCCAGCCTGAAGTAAGCAGCTTTGCCTTTCTCTACTCAATGGCTGGGCCAGATTTGAATCTGTGATTTTCCCAAAAGTAATGCCTTTCCATGGTGGGAAAATCCTTCCATGTTTTAGTCTTTATTGGGGGTGACCATTGATAGTCTTTATTGGGGGTGTCTTTTCGTTGGCTATCCCAGAGTATCCTATTCATTGAGGTAATACCCATAAACACCCAGACATGGAGACATGGGTGGTCCACAGCTGGAGACCTTGCTCCTGCTCCATCACACAGAAGTTTCTTCCTTCTGCAAGATGCATATCTGGTCTTCCTCATTCTCATCGTCTGGTCATCTTTTCTCAGACACTATATGAAGTAAATCAGTTGCTTTTCCCTTCAAGAATTTCTATCAGCTCTCCATGAGGAAATTTTCTCCAACAAATTGAAGGGTTTTATTAATTTCTCCCTTCAAGTACCTTGTGCTCCCTGCTTCTTACTCCAACCATCATCCATTTGAAAGCAATCCTATTTTAAGGTATATTTACATGTAAATATTTATATGCATACATTTTATATATCATATACACAGTTGTCCTTTGGTGTTCACAGATCAACTCCAAGATCCCCCTCAGCTACCACAGAAGTCTAAATCTTTTATATAAAATATTATAAAATTTGGATATAATCCTTGTAAATTTTTTCCCGTGTACTTTAAATCACCTCAGGTCACTTAGAACCCCCAAGAAATTCAATGTCAATGTGGGACAAATCACTGTCACACCGTATTGTTTCTGGAACAGTGACAAGAAAGAGCCTGCACGTGCTCCGCACACAGTAACATGTCAAATATTTTTGAGTCACACTTAGTTGACTCTTTAGAGGCAGAAGGCCAACCACACATACATGCACATATTCATACAGGTAACTTCTTAATGAAAAAAAAAAGCACCCTTTTCAGATACTATGGAACCATGATTTCATCTTTCTATACTGTCACATCAGGGACATTCTTTCTTCCTGACTTTGTCTCAGTGTGTCACAGACCTCTGCATTTCCTTCTTCCTGCATTCATTAACCAGAGCAGACAACAATCTGAGTACCTACTACCTTTATAGGTGTAAACAGTGTGGGCAGTGACATGGAGCATGCTCTACTCTCACTGCTCCAGGCAGTTGTGATGCCCCAAATCTCCTGCAATCTACAAAATTATTGCAGCATAAAGTCCTGCTATTATTTTAAAGCATGTCAATCATGGAGTAGTTTAATATATTGCTCAGAACAGGGAGAAAGTTGATGATTTTGGAGTTTATGGCTTTAAGTCAAAATATATTGTTCACATCTTGTTTCTTGGGCTATACAATTTTTTTTATTTTCAAAGGACTTCAAGAAGCTCTGACTTATGTTGAGGTTTATTTGTTCTTCTTTCAAAATTCCTACAAAACTTTGCTTCAGATTAAAGTGGTACAATTGTGTCTATATATGGTGGTTGGGGAGAGAGATCAGTCAGTAAAGTGATTTCCTGGCAAGCAAGAGTATCTAAATTCAATCTTCAGAACTCGTATAAAAATGCTGAAGTTGTGCATGCCTTTAATCCCAGCACTCAGGAGACAGAGGCAAGCAGATCTCTGTGAGTTCGGGGCGTACCTGGTCTACAAGAGCTAGTTCCAGGTCTGGCTCCAAAGCTACAGAGAAACCCTATCTAAGAAAACAAACAAACAAAAAGCTTAATGTGGTAATAAGTACTTGTAACCCCATTGCAGGGGAAGTAGAGACAGGCTGATCCCCAGTGACTGACAAGTCTGTCTATCCTTGAGCTCCAGGCCAGCAAGAGACCCTCTCTCAAAAGGGAGAGGTGGTATTTCTGAGTTATACCATATTTAAAATTTGCCATTTCATTCTTACCAAGTGTTTCTGTCTTCTGGGGTAATAATGTTTCAGAATGAGAAAAATTGAGGCACAGTGATTTTTTAAATTGATTTGGCAAACAATGATTCATGAATGAGGTAACTAACAAGACCTGATCCTTGAACTGCCATAAGGAACTGCAGAGGAAAGCCTCCCTGGGCACACAGAAGTGAAGCAAAGAGAATGCTCGCTTGGCTGCAGCTGGAGAATTGTCTCATTTGGCCTGTCCCATTGGGAGCCCCTAGCTCTGGAATTATGTTGACTATTTCTGGTTAAGCTTGAATTGTCTTTAACACACAAACAGACATTTATTTTTCATTTTTGAGCCACTGGGGATAGAATCCAAGACTCCAAGCTGCCCTGCAAACACTGTACCACTGAGCTAGCGTCTCAGCCCCATTGCAGTCACTTCCAAGACATTGCTCAAACTCAGCTGGTCACTCACAAGTCAAAGTCAAGGTCCCTTGGGGCTTTCTTGGCTTCTTTGCACAGGAACGCTTTGGATGTGGCTCCATTTCCATGTAATACCTGCTACTGCCACTCTGTTGTATCTTACACACAAACTGTATCACTGCTGGGCCCGGGGCCTTTAATCCCAGCACTCAGTAGATAGTGACAGGAAGATCTCTATGTCCAGGGCTGCCTGGTGCCCATAGTGAATTCCAGAACAGGCGCCTATAGAGAGAGATCCTATCTCAAAACCAAGCCAAACCAAAACAAAAATGTGTTAGTTTTAGTTGTTTGGTTTTTACTTCACTGGGATAGATGGACAATGGCAGATTTTAACATCTAGTACCAAATTTGTGTGTAAAGTATGTCTATTGTGTGTGGGATATATCTGTGTGTTGCAGGGAAGTGGGCCCTTTTGTCTTTCCCAGCTGCCCGGCTAGCTTACACCTGAAATAATCACACAGAAACTGTATTCATTTAAACATTGCCTGGCCCATTAGCTCTAACTTCTTATTGCCTAATTCTTACATCTTATTTTAACCCATTTATATTAATCTGTGTATAGCCATGTGACTGTGGCTTACCGACAAGATTCTAGCCAGTGTCTATCTCAGGCAGGAGATCCATGGCATTTGACACTTTGCATTTCTTCCCAGAATTCAGTTCTGTCTACTCCGCCTACCTAAGTTCTGTTCTATCAAGTAGGTCAAGGCAGTTTCTTTATTCATTACCCAATGAAAGCAACACACAAACAGAAGGAACCATCTGCACATGTGTATTTGCAATGGGACTTTATAAGGGAAGCACAGATGGCTACTTGCTATAGTTCAGAAATTACACATGTCATGTTACATGCTGTGTAATATTTATTATGGTACATAAGCACCAGTGTGCATTCTATATGTATTGATTCTTCCCAATCTGGGAGGGCTCTGTCTAGGACTGGACTTAGAGTGCTGAAAGGAACAGATAAACTCTCTGCCGCTGTGAGTTTACATCCAAATGGAAAAACAAACACTTCTGAAAGAAACTATGAACTCAGTGGAAATTTTCAGGTAGTGCTAAGTTGGCAAGGGCTGTGAAGTCAGAGTTGCCAACACCTGTAAGACTAGGCTAGGGTCAAGGCAGAAGAAGACAGCAGGCAGGATGCTGGGCACAGTTCTCTCATCACCCAGGTTAATGAAAATGTGGGCAGTTTGGGACACTGGTGAGATGAGTCCTCCTACTAGGCCCCTGTAGAATGTCATAATCTCCCCCATCAGGGTCTTCCTGAGTGTTTTCCTCGGTGAGTCTCTGATGGAAACTGGATACCACCCTAAGTAGGGCTTGAGTTAAAGGGTCAGGGACATCAAAGAAATATTTAGGGTAAAGGGAAAGAATTCAGAGAGGCTTTCAGATGGAGGCCACCAGAATAGATGATGAAACCAGAATCTGGTAGACCAGGATAGTCAAAGGGGAGTGGAGGGTGTAGAAGCAGATTCAAGGAACTCTTAAAGGTGATGAGAGGAGGCTGGAGGGAGGAGCTGGCAGAACTGACTGATTTGGGGAAACTAACGCTGCCTTTGTCCCCTCAGGCTAGAAGACATTTATGGGTGTCCTTATGACTTTGTTGAAGTGTTCGATGGAAAGCAAGTTGCCTCATTGTCCATGGGCAAAGTCTGTGCTGGGGCAGAACTCACTTTCCTCTCCTCCTCCAATTCCATGACAGTGGTGTTTAAAAGTGACGCCATGATCACCAACACAGGGTTCTATGCTCTGTACAACACTGTTCACCAAGACGAAAGGCAGAACGGTGGGTATCCTGACATGCACCTTCAAGATGTTCATCTGGCTGTGCCTTTTCCCATTTGGAGAGAACACACTTTTAAAATATGACCTGAATTCTATCACACCTGATGTGTCCACCTCTGCTACTGAGTGGCACGCACACTGCCAGCCATAGCCCTTAGCCCTGCTCTGTCACACACAGTCCCTGCCTTCTACCCAAAGCATCTAGAATCATAAGGCTGAGAACTCCTGTCTCGTACTGTCTGTGGTCCACAGAGACCTTCCCCTCCCAAAGGAAGGAAAACAATAATATGAAAGATTACTTTGGAACTGTCGCAAAGTCAGTCAGCTTTCCTCTGACTGGATTCAACCCACAGCCTCCAGAACACTCGTGGGCCTCTCAGATCCCACAGCAGGAGCAGGAATATTGTAGAGCTCTCTATGCATAATGTAAGTTTTCCTCCAACAGGGATCTTTGGGAGCTTATGAGACTCTAACATACTGGGCTGGGAGATGGCTCAGTGGGTAGGGAACCTGAGTTCAGATGCCCAGAACCCACAAAACTGGGTGCAGTAGCACATATATGTAATCCCTGTGAAATGGGAGGCAGAGGCAACCAGATTCTCAGAAACTAGCCAACCTGCTAGACTGGTGTAAACTGGATGCAATCAGAGATGAAGAAGAGGCCTGTCTCAAGCTAAGCAAAGCTTAATAATCAACGGTGTCCTCTGAGCTCCACGCATGTGTCTACACTCACATAAACAATCACACACACACACACACACACACACACACACACACACACACACAGTGGCAGGGGGAGAAAGAGAGATTTAAAAAATGATAGGCTTCAGTAGGTCTTCAGTACTCATAAAACAATACAATTTTAGGGAATCAGGTCACAGGGCCACTCCTAGTGTCTAACATGGAGAACTTTTTTTTTCAACCTGCCAATGACCCTAGTATATGAGGACAATGTCACATCTCAGAATCACTTATTTTTCCATTCCTAGGTCTGGCTTTGAGATTGGTGAATGGTAGCCACAGGTGCGAGGGCCGAGTAGAGATCTCTTACAATGGTACCTGGGGCACAGTGTGTGATGACAGCTGGGACCTGACAGATGCCAAGGTGGTATGCCAGCAGCTTGGCTGTGGTGTGGCCATGTCAGCACCAGCTGGGAGCTACTTTGAGGGAGGCATGGGCCATATCATGCTGGATGATGTGCAGTGCATGGGGGATGAAGCCAAGGTGTGGCACTGCACACATCATGGATGGTTCTCCCACAACTGTGGGCACCATGAGGATGCCAGCGTGGTTTGCTCAGGTGAGTGGCTTGCATCACATCTCAGAGACAGAGTTCTGCCAACCCCAGTCATTGGGAAGGGAGATGTCAATACCAGAAGGCAAGCTGGCAGCAATGAGCTTGCTGATTTGAGCCGATTTTAAAGTCAATTTACTTAAGAGTTAGTTTTTGAGTATAGATTCCAGCATCTGTAAATTGTTCAAAATCTCACCTGGAAAACAGCAATTATGTGAATTAGAAATCTTATACCTGGCCTGGCTTGCCTGGGTGCTGGTAGCAATCCAGTATCCACCAAGGGTTCTGTGAATGTCACTGTCCTACAACCAGTGCATCTGACTTTTCAGTTCACGCCCAGGGCTAACGTAGAGATGAGAGCATCTGTGCTCAGCTGATCAGACCCTCAAAGGCATATCCAACCCCACATGCAGGACCACATTCTCTAAGTATTGCCTGGCTAAGGTCCTTGGTTAAAGACCGAGCTCATCTCTGTGACAGAGGCTCTGTTAGCCCAGTAACTGGCCAAAATCAAGCAAACACCATGCTGAACCTGAACCACGGGGGCATTGTGTGCTCCCTCACTCCAGATCTCTGATTCCCTCTCTAGCCTGGATGAGTCTTAATTCTAGTTTTCCAGTGGCCCAGAGCTGAACATGTCTGAGTCTAAACAAAGTGCATGATTTTTATGGGTAGTTATGTGACCACCTTATTTAATCTGTCTCTCATCCTGACATTTGTCTTTGAATAGGTATTGATGACACACCAAGCAGAGGACCAGCAGGTACTGCCTGTAGATATATGTACTCAGTTGCCAGGGCCTTCATAGGTGAAAATCCCAGCTACCATTCAAGTTCTGAATCTAGAGGGGAGGGCCCAATTAGATACTCTATTTCTAATCAGCAAAGGCACTAACACCCATATGGTGGGGCTGAACTGCTGCAGATGGTGGGAAGATAAGAGAGAGTAAGGGCAGGGCTCAGCTCCACCAGAGATGAAATGCCTTGGGTACTGGTTCAATAGAGAGAGGACCAACCAGCTGCTGGCAGTGGTGATTATGTCATGAGATTCTAGATGGAGCAAGAAACCAGCAGTTCCCCGTTATCTGCAGTGGCCCCGTACATATTCTTGAGGTTCAAATGAGCAAGCTCCTAAGAGTCAGGGCCATCTATGCTCACTGGGCACAGGGGAATGGGTGCCTCGAAAGTTTAATAGTCTTTCTATTTTAAGAAAAATAATTAAATATGAATACAAATTCTTGATCACGACCTTTTTTTATGTATTTTTATAGACCCCTCCGGTGACATCATGACAGGTACTGCAGCTCTTCTTGTATGTGCTTCTCTTCCTCTGCAACTCATCCTGTCTCTGGTTGGTGCCCTTTCATGTTTAATACATAAGAAGCTGCTACATAGGAGTCTACAGCTAATCACACACCAAATCCGAGAGTTTGACACTAACTGCGTAATTCACCTTGGTCTCAATTACAGCTCCAATTTGTATATAATTATTAAAAGATAATCTTTGGTGTGTTGTAACTTGAAAGAGTTGGTGCTGAGCAGATAACTGTTTTAAGTTGAGAAGCTGCTAGCTGGGGTTATTTGGGGCTTCACCAAGAGGCCAGGCTTTGATAGGACAGGGTTGGAGGCAAGACCAATGTTTGCTTGGTGAATGTGTGCCAATGTCTTCCTTTGGATCACTAGTTAGAGGTGAGTTGGGAGTTTCTAATTAATCACAACAATCTATGCTGAGTGACTTTGGTTTGCTTATGTAGGAACTGAGAAGCCAGATCATTTTAATAGCCTCCCAATTATTTTTTTTTTGTCAAGTAAATTCCTGATCCTCAACCTTCCTAATGCTGTGACCCTTTCATATAGTTCTTCAGGTTGTGGTGATCCCCAGCCATAAAATTATTTTGTTGCTACCTCAAAACTGTGGTTTTCCTGCTGTTATGAATTATAATGTGAATATCTGATATGCGACCTTTGTGGGGGTCACAATCCAAAGGATGAGAATCATGGATCTAATGTCAGTTGTTTGTTCTACAGCATAGCATAGTGGGTTTGCACATATAAACCTGTCTGGGGACCTGGGTGCATAAAAGGTCTGTTCAATTCTAGGTGCTATCATTTTCCTGACACAAAGGGAATGGTATTCATCTGTCAGAAGGTTGATGCTGAGGCTGGGGATGTAGCTCAGTTGGGAGAGAGCTTGTCTAGCACACAGGAAACCCTGGGTTTAGTCCCTAGCATTGTACAAAACAAGCCCAGATGGTACATTCCTATCCCAGCACTCAGGAGTCGAGGCTGGATGATCTCAGGAGATTAGGGTCACCCCCTAGCTATATAGTCAGCCTCGACCACTTTAGCCCTGTCTCAAAAAAGAGTTTTTTTTCTTGCTGGAGGCATGGCTCATCATTTAAGAGTACTTTCATTCTTGCCAAGGACGTCAGTTCTATTCTCAACACCTACTTCAGGCAGCTTAGAACTCCTTGTAACCCCATTTCCAAGGGACCCAATGTCATCTGTTCTCTACACACATGTACTCACACACTCGCATGTGCTCGCTCTCCCTCTCTCCAAAGGAAAAAGACATCAAAACAAAAAGGAAAGCAGTCCTAGCTTAAGTCTCCCTTACATCTCTTTGTTGGTACAGCTGTTTTTCTTCAGACTCTAAGCTCATGCCCACTTCACATTTGAGATCCAGTCTCAGCGCTGGGGTTATAGGTGTGCATCCCCTACACTCAGCTTCTTTTTTTACATCTGGTTTCCCGTGTCTCCTCTTTACCTCACTAAAAACAAAACAAAAAGCACCATGTTTCTTCATGATATTTTCTCACTTTTTTACAGATGAAAATGTCCAATGTGGTGGTTTGCTCACAAATAGTTCAGGCTCCTTCTCCAGCCCTTGGTATCCTAAAAAATATCCCATCAATGTACTGTGTGCCTGGGACATACAAGTGGATAGCAGCGCTCACATCAGACTCACCTTTGAAGTGGTCAAGTGAGTGAATATTTTCTGCCTATACAGTTATCATTACTTGGCTTTATAGACATCAGTTTTACTGCCTTTGTGCTGGACACAACAATGCAGTTGCACACATGAACTTCTAACAGAGGAAACTTCATGTGCAAGACCAATAATATCAAGTCAGCCACAGTCCCAACACGCATGAGTGAGGGACTCACAAAGTCTCGCCCCTTTCTGAGAAGCTGTTGGCAATTAGTGGTTACTGGGAGAGTGAGAGCTGCTTTTCTTCCGGGATACAGGCACCGAGAAATTACCCAGGCTCCTGTAGAAGGTCCCATACCCATGCACACACAGAAAGCACAAAATGGATTCAGTAGGTAGCAAATTTAAAATAAAAATGGATGTGGTGGCATATGCCTTTTAGCCTGGCATTTAAGAGGCAAAAGCAGGCAGATCTCTGTGAGTTCAAGACCAGATGGGCTACACTGTAAGACCTGTCTCAAATTAAAAAAAGGTAAAAATAAATAGAATTTAAAAGAAGAGAGCCTGTAAAGTTGGGGGGAAAGTGAGGAGGGAATTAGTGGAGGAACTGAAGAGAAGGAACCGGGCCAGTCAGGATGCACACAGTACATGCATGTGTAAATATTATATAAAACATAAAAAGCTATAATTCTCCCAAATGAGCTGAACCTTGAAGTACCTAGGAATGTTGATCAAAAGTCTGAGTACAGAAACCCCAGGAATTTAAGTCCTGTGAGTACAAGAGAGTGTGCAGCTTTCACAGAGACAGTAGATTGGGATTAATCTACTTGCCCATCAGCAGATCTGCGAAACAGATATTTGGTACAGTCACATGTCACTGTTCACAGACTAAGTCAGTATTGCTACAGAATGAGATGCAAGAAAACAGTGGACAGTTGTCACATCTGCCACCATCTGTGTGTAAGCTTCTTGTGGAAGGAAAAAGAACCGCTTGTGGGAAGAGGGATAGAGTGGAGAGATCAGTGGCGATGGGAGATTCTCCTTCCTGCCAAGCCATCATTATCACTTAAATTTTACTCCATGAGTTTATAGCACACACTGCAAAGATATTAAATTAAAACGTGAACAAATCAAAAGAAAATGAATTAAATGGTATTTTTGTAGATTTTTGTCTCCAATTGCTTTGTTTAGACATTTCTTTGGCTTATTGGTCTTTTGCTTGTATATACTGATTTACATTTTTGTGGGTCTCTGTGTATGTGTGTGTCTTGTTTGCTCCTGGCTTGTTTTTCTTTTAAAGAGAGAAAGAAAAAGCATGGAGCTGTGTGAGTGGATAGGAACTGGGGGGTGGGAGTGGGGAATGTGACCAGAACAAGTTGTGTGAAAATATTTTTCTTCAATACAAACTAAAAGAATATATTTGGAAGTAGAGAGGTACATTTACCCACATCAGTAGAGCCAGACACTCTTCCAAACTGTTGGAGGAGGTATGAGTAGTTTTTCCTGACCCTTCCTGCAGCCATCTGGGAAATAACTTCTGGAGAATAAGGCCAAGGAGAGGAGCTTGAATGATGCCATTTCATCCACAGGATAGAAAACTTCTATGGTTGCCCTTATGACTTCATTGAGATTTTTGATGGTCCACAAAGCGAATCGTTTTCCCTGGGGAGATTCTGTTCAGAAACCATTCCAGTATTTACCTCTTCTTCGAGCCACATGAGCGTGGTGTTCCACAGTGATGACATTGTCACCAACATAGGATTCTATGCATCTTATGAGTCTCTTTTGCAAGATGAGAAAAACCCAGGTAGGTCCTTTCATCATTTCAGCCACCGGTCCCGCTTGGTGGGGACACTGCACTCAGATGGAGATTCCGTCAGCTGGAAGCTAGGGACCTGAGCGCTGCACTAGGATGGACATTCCATCAGCTGGAAACTAGGGACCTGAGCGCTGCACTAGGATGAACATTCCATCAGCTGGAAACCAGGGACCTGAGCGCTGCACTAGGATGGACATTCTATCAGCTGGAAGCTAGGGACCTGAGCGCTGCACTAGGATGGACATTCCATCAGCTGGAAACCAGGGACCTGAGCGCTGCACTAGGATGGACATTCTATCAGCAGGAAGCCAGGGACCTGAGCGCTGCACTAGGATGGACATTCTATCAGCAGGAAGCGAGGGATCTGAGTGTTGACTGAGTTTCTGTCCTGCCTGGTTTCTGTCCTCCCACCAGGTCCCACAGCCATTTAGCCCCAAAGAAATCACACAGAGGTCTATATTAAATATAAATTGATTGGCCCATTATCTCAGGCTTCTTATTAGATCTTATAACTTATATTAACATATTATTCTTATCTATTTTAGCCACATGGTTTGGTACCTTTTTCAGCAGGGCAGGTCACATCTTCCTTCTTCAGTGTCTGAGCAGGACTGAAGAGGAATGGACTTTCCTCTTCCCAGAATTCTGTTCTCATTGCCCCATCTCTACTTCCTGTCTGGTAGCCCCACCTATACTTCCTGTCTGGCTACTGGCCAATCAGCCTTTATTTAAAACATTATTGACAGAATATAGGCAATTGTCCCGCACCATCTGAGAGTGCGTCCCAAGCTTCTGGTCAGTCACAGCTCCTGAGATGTGAGTTGGCACAGTTTATTGCTGAGCACATTGCTCTGGACGTAGAGACAGACATCTTCTGAGATTAGAGGTCCATTAACTGTTAGGAGAAAGGGGACTCAGCTAGCTCCATGTTAGAACATGTTCTATTCAAAACTATGTTAATAATGAGTTCACAAATGGTAGAGTGATAGTGTTTCCATGCTTAATTATTGGCACAGTATAGAAGGCCACTGAAAGCCTTCTTTGAGCTCTGTGAAATATAAAAGTAACCCAGAGATGTATAGGAGGATGTTACCATCCCCTGGGCAAAATATCACATTTGCATCAAGTTCAAGGTGCTCAGCATCCAGCTTTAACCCATAAGGTGCCCTCCCCAGTGTGAGGGTTGAGCCCTCAAAGCTAACCAAGGCAGAGAACGTGTCCTCCTTACTTTCATTGCTCATCAACATGGGAAGCTTCAGGGCAGTGACCCAGCTTGTCTGCTTTCCAGATGTGGCACTCAGACTGGCCAATGGCAGCCACCCATGTGAAGGTCGTGTGGAGCTCTACTACAACAGCAGCTGGGGCACAGTGTGTGATGACAGCTGGGACCTAAGAGATGCCCAGGTGGTGTGCCATCAGCTGGGCTGTGGAGGAGCCGTGGCAGCCACTGGCCGAGCACATTTTGAGCGGGGCCTTGGTCCCATTGTCCTGGATGATGTAGAATGCATGGGAACAGAAGCCAGACTGTGGCAATGTCTGCACAGTGGCTGGTTTTCCCACAACTGTGGCCACCATGAAGATGCTGGTGTCATCTGCTCAGGTGGGCTGGGTTCTGAGTCTGCTGGGTTCATGATTCTCCAGTTCTGGGAGTTTCCTATGCCACCACACATAAATCAGGAAAGAAACTAGGATAGTCCTAGACCACTATTCCCAGCCTACCATACTATTTTAATTATCATTTCCTTTATCTGAATCTTTACTATGTGAGTTTCTTTTACAAGGAAGCTTCAAACTGAAGGAAGCTTCAGTTTAAACAGAGAGCCAGGGCCACATTCTGCAGATAGACCACACTTAAACTCAGACAGTATCTTAGTTACTCTTCTATTGCTATGATAAAACACCCCTGACCAAACTAATTTATAAAAGAAAGCAATTTATTTGAGGCTCATGTTCCAGGAGCTAGAGTCCATGACTACTATGGTGAGGAGCATGACAGCAGGTGGGTAGGCATGGTGCTGGTGCAGTAGCTGAGAGCTCACATCTTGATCCACACAGAAGCAGATAGAGTTAATTAGGGTTTTCTTAGGCTTTTCAAACTTCAAAGCCTGCCCCCAGGGGCATACCTCCTTCAACAAAGTTACACTTCCTCTTCCTTCCCCAACAGTTCAACCAGCAGGGGCCCAATCATTCAAACATACGAACCTATGAGAACCATTCTCATTCAAACCACCACAAGCAGCGGCAATGAAATCATTGTCAGAACCAGAATTTTTTTTTTGAAAATTTGACAGGACCTGGCTATGGCTAAATGTTTAAGTACACTAGTAACTCTCCTAGAGGATCAAGGTTCAGTTCCAAGTACCCATACAACAGTTACACAGCCTGGGCTATGTAGGTTTGTCTACAATTGTCTCTAATTGGTTCACTGAGTAATACATTAAAAATAAGAATTACAAAACCAAACCAACTAGCAAGACAGACACATCATATAGGTGACTATCCCTGTGGTCACAGTGCATAAAAAGGAAAGAAAAATTGTATTCTAGTATCCATTATTAGCACAGAATGGACCTAGATATTCAGAAGCTCGGGTGGTGACTTGGAGTCACTCTTAGATATGCAGGTGGGATGTATCTGGCTTTGGTTTCTCCCCAAACAAATAATTCAAATAATCGGGCTTACCTGTGGGGCCAGAAAGAATGAAAAGATGTTACTTGGTGACCCCCTCACTCTGCTTGTGTCTTTCGTTGCCTCTCGTTCTGGCCCAGCACCATCATTTCCTGTCAGTGATATGATTTCAGGTAATGTCAGTTCATCTTGATTGATTGGCTGTAACCTGCATTGGTGAAGTTACACTGGGAAGTAGGGTAGTGGTTTAGGGCCAAATACCTTGTATTCATTATCACTAAATTAGTAAATGTCTGTAATATTTCAAGTCTCTATTTCCTCCTCTGCATGAGGTGGATGCATCCTCAGGACATGTTGGGATGGGGTGACTTTCCTAGTACAGAGGAAGGGGCTGGCACAGACTCAGCAGTGACAGAACACATTGGGTAGGTATCATCCATTATCTTCTGACTTCCCAGGCCAGAGCTTTGTAAGCATTTCCCTCTGCACACTGCTTTCTTCCTGGCAGAACAAAGGAGCCAAAAGCATTAACTCTTTCATTAGCTACTGGCTCTTTGGGACCTAGTAGCTGCCTCATTTCAAATTCAGTCAGTGGCTCTTCAGGGCAGATCTTTAAGAGCAGAGTTCAGCATGCAGAGAAGAATCAGGAGAAGGGAAGTCCCAAGCCTTTAGAGGAAGTGCCATCTTGAGTTATTCTGGTGTCAGAGGTCCTCAAAAGATGTTTTGTTGTCTTTAAACTGTATCTATTTTTTAAAAATCAGTTAATCTCCAGGCTCTGGTTTTCTTGGACTTATAGACAAGTTTGTGTTCACTGTGTACATGTTGAGTGAGGAAGGGAAGAATTACTCTTTACAGAGAGGTGTACTGGAAGGGGTGTACTTAGAAGCCCTAGTCTCGAAGGTGGAAAGCCCACTAGAAGTTGACTAAGGGTTGAAAATGCTTGACACTTAACAAAGATGTGGTATAATTTTCTTGTTTTGCTTTCTTTCCATCTTTAGCGTTGTTGGTAAAGCAGCCAGAGTTGTCCACATCAACAGGTAACCGTTTCTTCATTCCTTAGTTGCCTTTCCTTTGTAGTGTCTGAGCCCAGATGCCAGCATGACTGGGGGAGATGCATCCCTGTTGAACACACTGTCTATTCCCACCCTCCTTCCAAGCTCACGCTGCCCATGCTGATGGCTGCTACTGGAAGGAGGACTGGGAATGCCTGGCCCATATGGAAAATCTGGGGCAAGAAAATACCGCAAGAAGCAAGAATAATTTGCAGGGAGTTGGTGTGGAAGCTGGCTCCTGTTGAGGCTCAGGGTGGCTTGCTGTCCCTACCCAGCTCTAGTTAGGAACTGACTTTGGCCACCTTCTGACCTTTTATTCTCTTCCGACATAACAACCTTTGAATATGGGCGTCGGCCTGCAATGACTGCCCTTCTTAATCCCTGCAATACCTTGACACAAGGGACACTGGATCCTGGTGTCTACTGGTATTATCTCTTAATCGGTGTATGTGCACAGTCACACACACACACACACACACACACACACACACACACACACACACCAGCTAGCATAGCTTTTCATAAAAAATTTAAAATATAAAAATAAAAGAAACTTCATGATTACCAGAAACTAAGACTTACAACTTGCAGTAAGTGGTCCACAGGGAAAGTTCCTGGTCCAGAAGGCCATGAAATAATCATTTCTTTACCAAACACAGTCTTAAAAACACATGAAGTGGAATCAAGGACAAGAACTGAAGTGATTTGAAATGTAAGAAAGGGAAGTGGGTTTGCCGTCCTAGACTGGCAATGCACAACTCCCAGGAAATAGCTGCTATTTCTGGCAGGCTTTGGGAATGAACCCTCATGGGAATGTCTTGGGTTACCCGCCAAGGTCTGGATCTGAGGCTGGTGAACGGGACAAGAAGGTGCGAAGGCCGAGTGGAGGTGTACTATGCCAACGCCTGGGGGACTGTGTGTGACGACAACTGGTCCATAGAAGATGCCCACGTGGTCTGCAGACAGCTCGGCTGTGGTCCAGCTTTATCTGCCCTGCCAGGCACCAGTTTTAGCCCTGGGTCAGGCAGCATTATCCTTGATGATGTCAACTGCACAGGAAGGGAGTCTTCCCTGGCACAGTGCCCTCACAGTGACTGGCTCACCCACAACTGCGGGCACCAGGAAGATGCTGGTGTCATTTGCGCAGGTGAGAGGAGGCCCATCCTAGACCAGCTGTAGAACTCCCCAAGCCAAGCCGGAATGCTGGTGCACCTCAGGCCTGCCTCCATGGGCAGGATATGGGCTTCTTTCCCAAACTGAAAACTGTCCTTGCCATACTTGGGGTGGCTGTTTTCAAACTGAAGGTCTGAAGCGATTGATTGGCCATAAAATAAAGAAAATGATAGTACTGGCCTCATAAAGTTGGCAGGCATTAACAAGACAACACACATACAACGCTTAGCCAAGTGTCTAAGAAACCATAAATAACACAGAAGTGCTAGCTGTTGTAATTTTTTTTTAACTAAGTTTCATTCTATCAGAGTCCTGTGCTGGGTTTTCAGGTAAGTGACATCCCAGAGCAAAGGGCACAGCCTTGGATGCTTAAGAAGGATTGCTCACTTCCTTCAATTATAATTAAACAGAGGCCATGCCCTTCCTGCCACTCAGCACTGTGGTTTCTAATAGCCATCTCCTGTTTCCCTTTTCTCTACAGATTCTGAAGCTGTCGGACATCCAGGTATCGATGAGTTCATGAACACTGTATTTCCTGCCCGGTGACTAGCACTTACCAAAAGGGTTTCCACACTGGGTCTCTCTTCTGAGTTTTTTGTTTGGTTGTTTGTTTTTGGTTTGGGTTTTTTTTTTTGAAGATTCTCTGAAATCTAGACTGCTTGCTGTCCCCCAGTCCCTGGGGGCCTGCCATGCACCCAGAGGAAAGGTGTTTTGGGTGTTAACAGATTGGTGTGCCATCCCTTCTGCACATGAAAATATTTCAGCAGGAAGCCGTGATGCCAGCTTTTGACCCCAGATAAATGTTCATGCAACAGAGGCCTTGCAAGGTTAAGGGGGCAGGTGGTCCTAGAGGCTGGTGAACCTGGGGACAAGCGCTCCTACTCAATCTGCAGCCTGCACACGGGAATGGGGATGAAGCTGGCGACTGAGAGTGAGGCCCAGCTATCAGGCCACAGCTTCACGATACCAACATGAACTTCATGCCTCGTTCTTATGGAAAAGTAACACACACACAGGCCTGAGCCACTGCTGCATTTAAAACGGAAGCAATCTGATCAGTTACTCAGAGGGGTTGCTTAAAGGCAAACTCACTTATATGATTTAGATGGCACTTAAGGACATGAGCTTGCCTTTTATTTGCTTAGGATGTATTTATGGTGACTTTTCTTCCCATTCTTACCTGTACAGCTACTTCAGCTCCTGAGGAACATCCACACGGTTTCCATCCAATAGGTACTTCGCTATCCTTACAGTCTGGGACTCTTTGCTCTGTGGCTGTTTGTGCGTCACCGAAATGCAACACACAAGGCTGGGAAAACAGCTCAGTAGGTAGAGTACTGGCCATGCAGACACAAGGGTCTAGTTCATCTCCAGAACCCATGCATGGTGGCACATGCCACTTTGGGACAAGTGGAGACAGACAGCTTCCTGGGGATTGCTTGCCAACCAGTCAAGCCCAATCAGCCAGTTCCAGGTAAAAGTAAGAGGCTTTATATTCTCAAAAACACAAGGTAGAAGGAATCCAGAAGAAAATAAACCTGGCGTGACATCTAATCTAGCCTATACAGGTGCATGCAAGTGCACGTGCACGCACACACGCGTGCACATGTGCACACACACACACACACACCACGGGGGGGGGATGGAGAGAGAGAGAGAGAGAGAGAGAGAGAGAGAGAGAGAGAGAGAGA